GATACATATATATATATATATATATATATATATATATATTACAATATACATATATACATGTATTCTTTCGAATCCCCAAAGGGAAACCCCCTCTTTAATTCGGAAGCTCCTTTTGAGAGGATTCAGATGGATATTTTAGGCCCGTTACCTGTTTCTTCTTCAGGCAATAAGTATCTCCTAGTTGTTGTAGATTGTTTTACTAAATGGGTAGAGGCTTTTCCTTTGAAAAATATGAGAGCTACTACGGTAGCAGAAATTTTTGTTAATCAGGTTGTTTCTAGATATGGGGTCCCGTTGGAACTTCATACCGATCAGAGAAGGAATTTTGAATCACAGCTCTTTCAAGAATTAATGAGAATTTTGGGAATTAGGAAAACGAGGACGACCGCTCTTCATCCTCAGTCTGATGGTCAAGTTGAAAGACAATATCAGACAATTTTACAGTATTTGTCAAAGTTTGTTGAAGAGAATCAAAAGGATTGGGATCGTTGGATTCCCATGTTTTTCTTGCCTATAGGACCTCTAAACATGAGGCTACAGGCGTAACTCCTTCAGAATTGTTTTGCGGAAGAAATCTTACCTTGCCGATGGATTTGCTAAGAGGTACTCCTCCCAGTTATGGTTTTTCCGAGTCAGCGGAGGAGTACGTTCGGAATTTGCGGCAGAAACTGGATGAAATTCATCAGAGAGTAAGAGAGAGATTAGAATCAAGGTCTTTGAAGATCAAATGCTGCTATGATCGAAAGGCTAGGCATCCCGTTTTTGAGGAAGGACAGAAGTTTTGGTTATTTAATCCTCATCGTAAGAAGGGTAGGTCTCCCAAACTACAGAACGATTGGGAGGGGCCTTTTGAGATAATTAAGAAAATTAGTGATGTAGTTTTCTGTATTTCTTGTTCAGGTGATCGGAAAAGCAAGGTTGTGCATGCCGACAGGTTAGCTCCGTTTAGAGAAAGGGAAGAATTTTAAGTAGAGGTTTTCGGGGCCCGGTTTTCCAATTTTGACATTACTTTTATTTCTTGTTAATTGTTTTAAGTTATTGTTTTCTGTTTTATCTTTCTTTAAGCTTCCTTCCGTCGTGAGAAGCGTCGTAGGGAGATCCTCGAGCCTGAGCACCAAGCAAGATCTTCAAGCTCGTGCTTCAAACTAAAAAGAAGTCTGCCTTGCCCCCGGTTTTCCGAATTGTGGTTTTTCCGGGGGACGATGGACGAATGCCGAGGCAGGGGCTTAGTATGTCTTTTAGAAAGACGTAAGGGTCCACGACGATTACCTTCACTTTGCCCGAAAAATGGAAGAGAGAAGTGCGCAAAGCTCAAAACGAAGAGTCAAGAGTGAAAATTTCAAGAACAAGATTCTTCTGAAGAGTAGAGAAGACTGGGATTAGAAGTAGCGGCGCCCGGTAACCTGAGGCAGCAGCCCAGGGCAGGAAGTCGCCAGGAGCCCAGAAGTCTTTTCCAAGAGGAAGTTCTTGAAAGAGAAAGAATTGTCGGGACGACAATTTTATGAAGAGGGGGGCAGTGTTGCGGCCGTGCGGTGTTCCATTCGGCGCTGCTGAAATTAATTAATATCAATCGATAAGAGTTTGAATAGAGGATCGGCCCTTGGCAACGCGTTGTTCTCCGACTGTTTTACAGATTTCACGGCCAGATTCCGCGGTGGCCGGACGCATTTCTGTACCGTTGTACCGTTGGTTTAATAAAGAGCGAGCTTTTCTTTAAACAGTGTTCTTCCTTTCCAAAAGCGCTCCGCCGAGTATCGCGATCTCAGGAAGTAACGCCGCGAACGCGACAATATGTTGTATTTAATATTATAAAAATAAAGTATAACTATACAAATTGTTGACAGTACGAGTTACGCTTTTAGAATTCTTATTTATATATTGACCGAATTTTTATTCTTTATTATATGTCAAAATTTTAATTTGTTAAGATGTGTCACTTATGCGTCCCTGTTGGGAGGATTTTTAAACACGTTCTCATATTTAAAAGCATTCATTATTTCTTTTGTTCATATGACGCTTAATTACATGTATTGAAGAAGACTTTGTGAGTCGAAAACGTTTTATATTGTTCGTTTTTTAAATAAAAACATTGTTTATGAGAAATTAATGAAAACATATTTTATTATTGTTGCTTTTGATCTTCAATTTTATTGTCATAATGTATAAGTATTATATAATGTACATTTATGTTACAAATATGTATTAAAATAAGAGATAATTAATAGGAAATATAATTTTGATTTTACAACAAGAATATATCACTACAGCGTAGCTATTTGTGACATATAAAATATAAAAAGGAAAAGATTATATTTATAAGCATTCGGAATATGAATTTATCATAGCTGAATTTTACATCCTCTTTCTTTCGTTGATACGCTTCGAGCCACTGTTTTCATAGTTCATGCTCTTTAGGAAAATAATACAATACATAATTATAATTTTCCCTGTTACTACGACCGGTCTGGCTCTTACAATTTTGAACACAACAAATTGGCATTTTTTAGCACTAATATCACACTGTCATTTAAA